CTGGTGCGATTGCCCTCGATCGCCGAGCTTCCGAATAGTGCTAACAGTTTTTTTACAGTAAACTTTTATTCTTCAATAAAGGTAACAAATACAGCTCAGGGAAAATAAAAGCTATCTTTGCAATAAAAGTAGACTGTTCAATTGAGAAATATAGTAGAGATGACTAGCTAAATAATTATTGACAAGTTAGATAATGCTACTTTCCGTGGCGTACAATGTAGCTAATTTTTCTATTTGAGCTTTTTTTTAGGCGTAAGTCCATGTTGCATTTGCGACGTAAGTATGCTCTGACAGTGCCGGTCGTTTCCCCGGGGAACTTTTGGACCACGTGGTCTGCAGTGAAATGAGAAATGAAGCATCCCTTTGTCACATTATGTCAGCTATATACTCGGTGATATTTTTTAATCAACTGGTTTCAGGAAAATTGGGGGCTCATGTCATGTTGATGCAGTCTTCATGTGTGTCGTGCGACTCGGCGGACATTACATGGGCGAATAACCGTGGCAACATCTTTTTAAGTAATTAAAATCCGTAAATTTACTTTTTTTTATTATTGCTGTTTTAGAGGCAGTCGTTATTGAAGCCTAACACAATCAAAACTATTCACGAAACAGCAAGGGGCTTTAAGATATTTATTTATCAAATTTCGCACTTTTTCTCTCGATTCAAGAACCACGCGCGGCAGGGGCGGGCAAAGTGGAGAGTGAAATTAGCAGTTTTGTGGCATATCGGTGATGGCATGTTTGTGTTAGCGAGAGCTTCTCATACTGGAGTTCTATGCATTATTTAATTTTCTAGTGAAGTTACAACCCTCATAAAGTGCTGTCGCATTCAGCATGAACGAAGTTGCACTCTTTTGAAAGCGTGCCTTTGGTGGATGCTCCAGCATCATACTTCCAACGGTTCGACTGAAGGGAATACGTAAGAATAGCATCCCGCGCTCTGTCCAGTGCACTGTATTTAATCAGGCGACGAAGGGCAGAGTTTTAGCTATGAATAACCCAAAACTTGTCGCCTTTTCGCAAATTGTTTCAGTTGGGCTAGAGTTTATTCATAGCCCCTTTAAAATTGAAAATTCAACATGGTCAATTACACTGTCAATTAAAGAAGCTAATTAGACAACGTACTTTGACGTTTATTTACTCATCTAATGTCCACCGAGCCCCACAAATATTCTGTGAAAACGGCATCGGCCTATCTATCGCGTTTTTAGTGTGTTGATGTTAAAAATCGCAATATATATATATATATATATATATATATATATATATATATATATATATCAGGGTGTCGAACCGGAATCGAACCGAACCGAAAACCGGAACCGAACCGGTATTTTTTCCGGAACTGAACCCGAACCCGAACCGTTATATTGTTATCTCGATGAACCCGAACCAGAACTGAACCGGAAAAGAAATAACGGTTACCGGCTCATGTCAAAACGGTTCGGCCACGCGCTGTTGACAATGAATGTGCTATCAATGCCATTTCTTTTTTAAGTGCCGTCAACTGACACACACCTCGCTTACACATTTTCCTTCTCCACTCAGTCTTAGGAATATAAACGCTGCATTCATGAATCTTGACATAGGAACCAGTATTGCGCTGGTCGCGGTTTGCACGAAGAAAAAAAATTGGAAGGCTGCGCAAAAAAAAAAAAAAAAATGGCGTCACGGGATTTTATTTTTTTGCAATCTCGTAAATCCTAAATTCTGCTGTGTGCTCATTTCATAACACGTTTCTAGAACGTGATGTTGCAATTTTTTTTAATTATTTTGATGGTATTTTGATGTTATTTTGATTTTGTTATTTTGATGTTGCAATTTGTCATTTATAATTTCCGAACCGGTTCAGCGCCCCGAACCGGTTCGCGGATCGAATTAATCGAACCGGAACTGAACCGGAACAAAATAAATTTACTTGAACCTAAACCGTAACCGAACCCGTATTTTTTTCGGTTCGACACACTCATATATATATATATATATATATATATATATATATATATATATCAGGGTGTCGAACCACTGAACCCGAACCCGAACCGTTATATTGTTATCGCGATGAACCCGAACCGGAACTGAACCGGAAAAAAAATAACGGTTACCGGCTCATGTCAAAACGGTTCGGCCACGCGCTGTTGACAATGAATGTGCTATCAATGCCATTTGTTTTTTAAGTGCCGTCGACTGACACACACCTCGCTTACATGTTTTTTTTTCTCCACTCAGTCTTAGGAATATAAACGCTGCATCTATGAATCTTGACAAACGCTGCATCCATGAATCTTGACATAGGAACCAGTATTGCGCTGGTCGCGGCTTGCACGGAAGAAAAAAAATTAGAAGGCTGTGCAAAAAAAAAAAAAAATCGCGTCACGGGATTTCATTTTTTTACAATCTCGTAAATCCTAAATGCTGCTGTGTGCTCATTTCATAACAGGTTTCTAGAACGCGCGAGTTCTTGAAGCTTGCTTCCATCGGAATGAGAAAAGAAAAGGCTGTGGAGTTTGGTAATGCATCCGGTTTCGTATAGGCACTTAGAAGGTAACATATTTGTGAGACAGCGAACTCTTCTATTTTAATATTTATCCTATTACGTCCTTCTGGCATTGCGTTCGGTGAAGTGCTTTTCATATTCCGTATCTTGTTTAATGAAAACTTCTTTAAGGGTCTAATTTGAGTTACCGAAGCCTAGCTCAAAGAAAGAAAGCTGTGTTTTCTCCCCACTGTTCCTTCAATTGCTTACACGCCGAGGTGGCGGGATAGTTAGCGAGTTCTACTTGTAAGTGGGTTTGTAAGGAGGTCGCGGATTTTACAGCTACTGCGTCGGACCCAATTAGATGAAGTCCGAATGCGTAAACGTCGGTGAGGTAACCTTTGAGTGCACATAAAGAAACCATTCCTGGTAGAAATCCCTGAGCCTTACACTACGATGTATCCCGTTTCGTTATATACTGATTTCAGATGTTTTATTTGTAATTTATTTTGATGTTGCAATTTGTCATTTATAATTTCCGAACCGGTTCGGGGATCGAATTAATCGAACCAGAACTGAACCGGAACAAAATAAATTTACCTGAACCTGAACCGTAACCGAACCTGTATTTTTTTCGGTTCGGCACACTGATATATATATATATATATATATATATATATATATATATATATATATATGTATATATATATGTATATACCCGTTATTATAATTTGAGTACATCGGCTGCAAGCACTGAAAGTAGACCTTTAGTATACTTAAGTGCACTTTCGATATACTGATTTTGAACTACTTTTTGCCGCGGGCACTACGATTCTACTACATGTACTAGTTTTGTACGGACGAGTATACTTTCAGTCCACCGCCATTTTTACTGGAAGTATACTTCAAGTACACTTAAAGTATACAATCAGTACAAAGACCGCACTGAAAGTATACTTTTAGTATACTTCAGTACACTTAGAGTGTACTGATTTTGAACGACTTTTCGCTAAGGGTATGCACCGGTAAATTGAGAGAACGGAGGAGGTGAGAGCGCGCAGGGACGGCAGAACGCCGAATTCTGGTTGTAATGAGTAGTGGATATACCTAAAGCTAGCTGCCTTTGTCTCTACTGCACTCTTCGAGCCCGTTAGAATGCGGAACGCCAACGACCGTCGTTTGGCTTTCGAACTTGAACTCGCTCCATGAGAACAGTGGAGACAAAAACCGCTAGCTTTAGGCTTGCCCACTAATCATTCCAACCAGGGGCCCTATCTTGCGCTTTTTGGACTCCCACGGCAACTAAGGACAAGGAAGTGACGTCACCAACGCGGCAAACGCAAATTGGATGTTTATTGGTGAGAGTCGCTGATGACGAATTTACCCGAAAGAAAACAAAAAAATAGTGTGCTTTGTTTTCTTCCGCGTAAATTCGTCATCAGCGACTCTCGCCAATCAACATCCGATTTGCGTTTGCTGCAATGTTGACGTCACTTCCTTCTCCCTAGTCGCCGTGGGAGTCACAAAAGCGCAACGTACACTCTAAAAAAAAGGGTATCACCTCACACCCTTTTGTCCCCTATAATACACCCCAAAACTTCATTTCGACGTACAGCGCCCTGCAGTCGAACAGACGGCACAAATTTTGCCAGGGGCTTGATAACAGTGCGATATAACTTATTAAATTGCTAAAGTACGTATCAAAGACCAAAGGAAGAAAACACGGAGCTTTTGCAGTACGGCCAAGAAAACTCCGATAGTCTTTTTTGTATTCAATAATACGTGCATCAGCTATCTTAATAAGTTGTACCAAACGGCTACCAAGCCCCTCGTAAACTTTGGGGCCACCTGTTCGATTATGGGGCGCTGTACGTCGAATTGAAGTTTTGGGGTGTATTATATGGCACAAGGGGTGTAATAATACACCTTTTTTTCTGAGAGTGTAGGGCCCCAGAGCACGGCGTCTTGACGTCTGCGCGCCCTCTCGTCTTCTTCTATCCCTCAGTTTCTCGGCACATATCCTCCTTCATGAGACCCTTAGGATTCGCGAGAAGGTGTGGGCAAAAGAATTAACCGAGGTACGGTTTCGAAATGCATTGCCATGTGGAGGCGGCTCATGACGTTAAGCCAGCCCCTGGATGCGTTGAAGAGCTGGAATCAATGAAAGCCCAAGAAAAACTGGGGGTTACCTATCATGTTCCCACGCTTTGCTTCGTGATGTCTTCTTCGGCATATAATTTGCCTAATTCGGCAATCTTGATGGTTGCCAAACGATACTATGATGCTAGGGAATAGCCACGTTTTGGAATTTCTAGTCTGTACGTGACTAAAACAATGAGGACGACTGTACTCATGACGGTTTGCTTTAATAGTTTCTTCTTTCATGCCCTTGTATGTACGTATATTTCAGGCTAGTTAATCTTTCGGTCACTGCGTTTTGACGGGATACATTGGAGCCAACAAGTTTGAAATATATCCGGTAGATGTGACAGAGAGCCATTACTTTTCATTCCTGTCCCCAGGATTCTTGACAACAGCAAAAGCGGGATGTGAACCCCTGTACAATGGTGGTTCTGGAGGTCGTGGAGGAAACGTTCAACCCAAATGGTCTTTCAATCCACGCACCAATCACTGTGTACCAGTTATGGTGAGATCTGGCTGTCCTCGTTCATTGAACTGCTTTCACACTGAGGCCGACTGTAATGAGGATTGCGGTAAGTGTCATCTTATTTACTTAAATGCGTTGTATACTTTGCTTACATACAGTCTATTAAATGAACTCTTGCAAACCATACCTATGTGAGCATCCCAGTTAAACTAAAGTCTTCAAAATGAATGAACAATTTGTGATATGCCGTGACATGTTATTAATAGCAATATCCTATTCGCAAATAAAACCTGTGCTCCACCCTCCTGGGCCTCAGTGCGCCGTTCCGAGTGTCAGGGATTTCATCTTCATTTTTATTTTGCAGGGAAGAGCCCATTGTATATACGTAAATTTTCTTTGTAACTTATTCTTTCTTCCAATTATCATCAGCATATATATTTACCTTTCTAGGATTTTATTAAGGCCATTCATATAATCCGTAAAATGTAAAGTGTAAATTATTCTTTTTATTTCAGCAGAAAGACATTGAACTACAGTGTCATCACCTTTTCTGTACCTTTACTCTTTACATATGGCATTCAATACTATGGCAACATAGTTTAATATTATCGTTTGCATTTGAAAAAGTTAACATTTGGAAAATTAACTTTCATTGCTGCATAAATAGTGTCCAGGATGGTTATCCTCCCTGTTAGTTCACTCGGCCTTGATATTAAAATTATTGTCATACCAGTTCCGAATTTCCAAACATTACACGGAGTATGCCATTTTAACGTCAAACGTTCTTTGGCTAGGTGTTCGGCCTTTCGTAAAGCATGGATAAATTACGTGGACGCGAGGCCCGACACTGATTGGTTGACGGGTGGGAGACGAGTAGGGAGGGGCTCGAAGCTGATTGGTCAACGAAGAGGTCATGTGACCAGAATGGTAGGCGAGGAGGAGCTCGACCACCGGTGCAGAGTGAGGGAGAGGAGCTCGAGATTACGGAAGACTCTAAAAGGTCGCCAGATTTATCAGCACGATAAGAGGTAGTATCTTTTCATTCTAAGAGCAACTATCAAGTGCACACCATGGTACTCTTTAAACAATAAGATGAAGAGCGCCGTGAACGTAGGCGTCTGGCGCTTGGAAACTCACTGTAAAAAAAGCCCTTGAGTCTGCTTTCCCGCACAACACTCGGAGAGCCAATCAGCTCAACTTACGGAGGCAGCTCAGCGAATGACACTGCCGAAACATATGTTTAGACCAAAAAACGCAGTCTGAGTTGTGACATTAAGCAATGCAAAACGCCACGCTTGCATTGCTTAATGTCACAACTCAGACTGCGCTTTTTGGTCGAAACAGATGTTTCGGCATCGTCATTCGCTGAGCTGCTTCCGTAAGTTGCGGTGATTGGATCGCCGAGTGTTGTGCGTGAAAGTAGACACACAAACGTTTTTAGAGTGCAGAGTATCGCTAAACGTTTGTGACGTACGCTAGAACGTTTCACGTATGTAAGAGAATTGCCTAGCAATTTCACGTAATTTCGTTTAACCCTAGAGAGTGGGGAAACAGGATAGCACAACAAAACTCGAGCTGTGCGGAGATTCGTGTTGTCCTGTCTTTCTGTTTTCCCACTTTCCAGCGTTACAAACTGGCAGTTCTTAACCAGCTCTCTTGCAGCCTCGCATTAACGAAGTATGAATACATATAATACAGAAACATTAAGCAATAAATATAATTTCTGTCAATCTTGAAGAAGGCGTAAGCTGATACTTTACACCAGTTCAACACCCTGATACTATTTTATTAAAAAAGAACTTGGGGCAATGTTATATTAAAATTACAGCAATTTGTTTTTCGATTTGTATCGTACAGAAGTGTGCGAAAATAGTAATTCTGATTTTTTTTTTTTTTTTTTTCAGATCCAGAGACGCAGTTGTTCAAGGAAATCCTTCAAGGTTGATAAGAGGAGGGCGTTTATGTAGTTCGGTCAAACGAGCAGATTTATGCATATAACCGTTATACACTCGTTATTATCAGAGATATTAAAAGATTAATATCATCATTAAGTGTCAGAGCTCTTTGAAAAGATGCTTTTTTTCTTCCACCTTGAATAAGCTCTTGTTTTTTCCTTTACGCACTGGTGCGCTTTATTAACAAGAAAAGTAAACTCTAAATAGAATCCCGCGTCAGGCTGCTTTGTTCAACTGCACACCATTCACCCTGAAGGGCACGACTAAACTCTTAATTTATGAGGAGACATCCATACATTGTGTCATAAATCATCTCCATCTTGGGAATTTCTCCTAAATGATTACATATAAATAATGCCGGACATTAATTCGTTTTGTGTTCTTAAATTTATACAATGGTGGCAGTTGGTAAAGTTGAAGCTTGTGCGAGTTGGCTCGACATGCATGAGAATTAAAGCTGCCCAAAAGACGAAAGACCAGATGAAGAGAGCGGACTCAGCGCTGTTTCGGTATCTTTCTTCATCTGGTCCCTCGCCATTTGCGCTTTTTGAATTCGCAGCTGGTAACTTTCTTTTAATCTACTAGCGGTTCCGGCATAGAAACTCGGGCCTGGAGCCTCCACTTCCCTTACAGAAGAGACGGCGCGCGACGGTGTGCTCAATTTGGGTGAAAATATTGACTTGAAGATTAAACATATTCAGAAGAGGTCTGTTTAAGTGGGTAAAATTTTGATTAAAAAATAAAATTTCAACGAGTCTCTAACACGTGGTCAGCTCGGCTTCTTCAAGGGTGACTGTATCCGTTGAGGAGCACATCTGGAATGGAAAGAAGACAGCTGTTCCTCAGCGCAGTTTTACTTGAAAAACAAAATCGCGTTGGCTTTATAAAATTTGTTTTCTTATCCATTGAAGGATTGCTAAGTTTGTCATCTTCCTCATAAATACTATGTTTCGCTCTAAAAAAAAAACTACAAAAAACAACGCATTTGAAAGCCATTTATGGCATGAAGAACAGTGACAGTTGTGTGACATAGACAGGGTGAGAACGCACTTTCTTGCCATTGACGCTTTATGCCAACTATAGAGGTGCAGTCTCTGGAGCTTAGGGCTTTTATTTGAAATAACAAATCATAATGTAACAATTGCAGATATTTGTGCCGCTAGATATATTAACCCAGTTTTTAACCAAATTATTCACAAAGACCATAGAAACCGACAGGCTAACAAAACGTAAAGCGTAGCCTATTTTGTTCAAGCTTCTTGCTTCGTTATCTTTGGCCTTCTTAAAGAGAAATTTAGGTATCTCATAGGGTCGCAGTATCAATGACAAGTTGCTCTGGACTCTCTACACCATGTTTATCTTAAGCTGTCCGTGGCAATATAAATCGATATTCACGGTGGATAGTGTGCAGAAGGGCCAGACGTTAGGTGATCGCTGTAAATGGTACAGCTAGAAGGATATCAACGGTTTCAAATTGATAGCGAGCACCTCAGCTGTGACGAGATACACCAATCTGGCTTCTTGCGCAGCAGTATGGCAAAACCAGCTTGGTGTAAATGTCTCGGTACCTGGATACAAAATATGCTCATGAGTCTTGCATAGAGTGGACCTTGCAAAAATGGGCATGTAGTTTTGAAATATTGTTCTGGCATGCCGTCAACGATGCCGGCTGTTGTTGTCTCGTTACGCAAACACACACACACACACACACACACACACACACACACACACACACACACACACAAAGGGAGGTTGAATCGAGTGGGGCTACACTAAACGTATAGAAAACTTAAACCATCATCACCGGTTTTATTGGAGAGACCTTTTGTAAGGCGTTTTCCTGGTTCGTCAGATCATTCAAGCGTCTGCTACATGTTTCAGTTTTTAGTCCCTTTAAACTTTGTGTTGACAAATAAAATGTTTTTTTTAATGCATTATAAATGAGCTACTAAGAACCGCATTAGCTCCGTAACATATTTCTAGAATACTGCTAGCAAATAATAATTACTTATTTATTCACACAACATATAAAAACCAAATGCTGGTCAAACAATAAACGTAAATTTGATGACGGCGGATTCTTCACAGACAGCATCTACTTTCGAAATTCAAAAGGCCGTTATTGAAAAAGAGTCAAAAAGGCTCAATTAAAAAGAATATTTTTAAGACATGTTAGCAGCAAATGAGGGCGTATGCCAACGGGCCTAGAAAATAAAATGCTTTGAAGTCGTATACAAAACATATCGGGACACGAAGTGGACGTGCAAACATTGGGGAACGAGACCAATGTCTTATTAAGGGCACCAGATAATCAAATTTGAGAGGTTGAAGTCACAAAGGTAAATTTTATAAGCCTCTTTTGTGACTGCAGACATTTATCCGGTGAACTTGAGAAAGGATCATAAATAAATTATTTTTTTCTTTCAGCACTGCGCGTGCTAATGGCGAGCTTCCGCAGTTCTTTTGCAACGTGCGTTCCGCTCTCTCAAGATTGAAGGTCTTAGTAGCCTATTAATGTGAGCTCATTCTGAGCATGTGCTCTAAACATCGCCCTCAAATATAGAATCCAATGAATGCTTCCCATAAGCTATACGTTGCCGCACGCGCAGTAATATTTAAAAGAAAGTTGATTTCCTGATCACTTAATAAGGTATATATATATATATATATATATATATATATATATATATATATGTATATATGTATATATATATATATATATATATATATATATATATATATATATATATATATATATATATATATACTTGACAGCACGGACGTAGTACGGCGGCGTTTTTAATTACTTCTGACGGAAAAATACATTTCCTTTGAAAACTAAAAAGGGAACGACACTTAGTAGTTGGTTACTTCCGGCTGGTTAGTTCCGGTTTCGAAACGGAAACCATGTTTAGGGAGAAAATTTCTGAAAAAAACAATATCGACGGTTGTTAAGGCATTTTTCAAAGGAGTTTGTTTTCCCCAAATAAAACTCCTGCTTTCTAGGAGGAAAATCGAACAACGCTAAAAAACAACAATCCAAGAACACACAAACTGAGAAGTTCCAGTTACTATGTCAGATTCAAATGTTTATGATACAATTTAAATGGCTCGTGCAATCAATTTCCTCTCTTGTGGAGTAAATGTTTTTTTTAATATATAATCTGCTTAAAGATAATTGTTTTTCTTAAATATCTCGCGTCCTCATTTATCACTTTCTGCGAAGCATTAAGACTCCTTAATAATCGTGGCGGGTAAATATATTTTCCCCGCTTTGTGTAGCTATTATTCGCTGAAATTATCACCCTTAAATAAGTTTTCAAAACTAATCGCTCAGATAATATTATCTAGAAGCATATAAGAACCTTATGATAAAGTATTAGAAACATATAAGATTATGTATTAAGATATAAAAAACCATTAGTAATTTCTAATAACTTATGAACCTAACCGCTTTTGTACTGTTGTGTGGTTTTACTATACTCCTATATGACCTTGCTCGATCATGTGAGTTTATTGAACCATGACATTTTTCATACAACATAACTTTGTTTTACTAGGGTATCGCTCTTCAGTCAATCGGTTAGGGGTTTCAACCGATAACAACGCCAAAGAACCAATCACAAAGCGAGAAGCATGATCCTAATAGACCACGCCCGGCGTTTCTGAAGTTGTCAGTGACGATACAGGGCCCAATCAGAAAATTGAGACGCTTTGTTGTTTCGCTCACAGAAATGAATTACCCATTGCAGAAAGCTGAACCTTTGTGAGAATATTCCACTTGATAGTTGTGATAAAATGCGAATGTTTGAGAACATGACGTTACCTGCATCAAAAGATACGGGGAGAAAAACAAAAGTTTAGCTGATGAGCCGACATTTCCACCTAAGTCTAATATTTATCAAGCTGAAATGTGACATTGCGGCCGCCTGTAACGTTAATTTCAATGTAGAAACCAATAACTATTTGTCAGTGAAAAAGAAAACATTGTTTTGTTTCTGTCTCCCCAGTGTTTTCACGAAAACAATTGCTACAGGCGGAAACAATGCCATTTCCTGGTTTGATGAACCTAACTCAACTTAAACAGACCTCGGCTGATAAAAAAGAAATTGTATGTTGTATTTTTTGATTGAGGTAATGTCATGCTTCCAAACTTTCGCGTTTTGTCACAACCCCAAGCGTCACGTTCTCACGGGTTATCATTAGAGCCCTGCATATACGGGGATTACCCGCGGATCCTCTGTGGATATCCACAGTATACTAGCGGATGCGGATAAAAATGCATTCGATTTCGCAGATTGCGAATCGTGTGCGGATGACAGGAGCTACGGATGTGGATCGGAGGCGCAAATCCGCGGGTCCGGATCTACTTGTTTTATCGAGGCGGCCCGCAAAAGTGTGTGACTGTACAGTTTATAGTGAATAAGTGGGTGATACAATGAAATGCGTCATCGACTGTATTCCGGGAGCAAACTACCCTTTTAGATAAAAGGTGCCAATCGGAAAGGAAGTTGTTCTTTACGTCAAGAAATATTTGATGATTACCATGGATCGCTTTGAAACGTTGTAGCTCGCCAAAAATGCTTTCCATACAAAAAAAATATAAACGATGCAGCAGCATCAGTCGTCCCGGGAAAGCTTGTAATTGTCTGGCAGGGAAAACCGAAAAACGTACTTTGGACAAACAAAAAACAATAAATAAAACACAACAACAACCATAGCAAAACGTACCTACAAGCCACAAGAAAGTAAAAGCATGCAAGTGATTTGTTCGCCTACAAGGAGATCGAGGAGATAGAATTCGATCCTTTGGAGTGGTGAACTTTCGCCATCTCAAATTTCTGCACCTCATTCTCGTAGCGCAGTTCGTGCAGGCAACCCAGGCATCAAGTGCACCAACTGGAAAAGACTTCTCTTTGGCGGGTATTAATTTAAGAGACGGGAACTAGTCTGAAGTTGTCCATGTTTACGCTATTCTCTTTCTTCTACACGGCAACCGAACTCGACAAGGGAGACGCTGCGTGTGTGTGCGT